CTGAATGGATAGTTGCAAGCATGACGAGGCGTTCATTCCATACGCCTCGGCGCTGCGCTGTGCATGTAATTCTGTTGATGCCCGTTGCAATGCCCCTCGGATGACCATCGATCGCAAAGTCGAATCGCCTGCATGCGCGGATACCATGAACGGGTGTTCTTTGATCGCATTCAACGCGTTGACGGTGGACAGCACCTCATCCTTAACAGCCGGAAGAGAGTCAACTTGAGTGAAATGCGCAAAGGTTGATAGCCTCATTGCAACACCGTCCAGATTGTGCAAATCACCACGAATGATCACGTCATCCAGAATCTGTCGCGCGCTTGCTTTCAACGTGACAATCAAGTTCGATATAGTACTTCCATCGCTCTTCATGGCTTCGTGGTGAACGGTGATTCCGATTCGGCGCATGGTTGCACTCACTGGCAAAGCGCCAGTAATGAAAGGTGAAAGTGCACTCAATTCTGTCTCCCCTATCAACTGCCCCGCGAGCTGCGCAACGATGCCTTCGAAAAGTGCGGTCTGCGATTTGTGCTGACTCTCCGTATCGTGTGAGCCGTACATCAATGCCTCGTTTGCGATGCTAGCGTTCGGCCAACACATCGGCTGGTACATGACAGATCTCGCAGTCACATCTTCGACAACAGGCTCACCAGTGGCGAGTTTTCGCAAAGATTCGAACGCGCTCGCACATGCAGACTGAAACGCGTTGCGGGCAACCGCGCGAATTGTCTCGTTTGACTCGCCGCGCATGTAAACTTGGCTCCAACTCGACCAAAGAGCCACTTGGACGTCATGGCCACGTGACAGCAATTCTTGCGCTAACGTTCCCCACTCTGCGAGTAATCGCGATGACACCGCCTTCAAACCTGGCCTAGACGTGCGATCTCCAAACGAAGAGTGCGCTTGTACCATGATTGACTGACCCGCGTCTGTAAGGTAATCCGCGATCTACGTACCAACGCTCGGAATCGAGGAACTCGCGCACGTCGCGCTCGATCATGTCTCTCGCGCCGGTGGGTAAGACTACCGTGTCGAGTGGTCGAGACGGCTTCTCGCTCGGAACCCAGTGCTGCTCGCCTCTATACACTCTATGTCCACCTCCCTCGTGTCTACTCGACGGCGCGCTGTACTCGACCACCGTGCGAGGCATGTGCACGCGCGTGAACTCCGATCCAGCCTTGCGTTCGCGCTCGCGCGCCTCCGCGCCCAATCGAAGCATCTCCCGAACGCACTCCTTCGTCCATCTTCTCGATCGAAACAACCGGAACACGCGAATGGTAAAGTAATCGCTCGTTGATCCCTCCGCTGGCGCTCCGTTCATCTTCCCACCCGCTGCGCTCGCTCCGAAAGACGACGCGCCGTTCACAAAGGCGCTATACCACGACGATTCCCCGTCGGACGACCCCACGCTCGATGCCTCCCCGAAACGCCCCCCCCCGACACGTCAATCGCGCCTCATATCCATTCACCCGCACGACGACCGATTTTCCACGCAACACGGGCTCCAGGACGATATCATCGTCCTCCCCTCCCGCGTATCGCGCCCGCGCGACGTCGCCTCTGCTCATCAATCTCAAAACCGCCCGCGCGTTCTCCACCTCCGCGCTCCCGCGCTCGCCCGCGACGATCACCGTCACGAACAGCATCTTTTCCACCGCGCGCGCGATTCGATCCACCCCCCGTCGCGTCCGCGACGCCAGCGCGTTCACGATCGCGAGCGCCAGACCCGTGGCGATGAAATCGTCCCTCGCGCCACGCGCGCCGTCTCGCGCGCGATCGACCGCGCGCACGCCCACAGGGCGTCATGAGCGCTCGCGCGTCGATCGTCGTCCCGTCGCCCATCGCCCGATCGCTCTCGCCCGCGCGCGCGACGACCGCGCGTCGAGACGTCGCGTCACGATGGGCGCGACGCGACCGATGGCGCGCGTCGCTTCACTTCGTCGCGCATGCGCGTCGACGCGCGCGCGACGCTCCGAGCGCTCGCGCGCGCGCTCGACGGGATGTTTTTTGGCATTTTTACCGCGCTGCGGCGCGCGCGCGCGCGGACGCGGGCGCGCGAGACGACGACGACGGCGCGCGCGGGCGTGGGATGCGGAAGGCGAACCGTCTCTTGGTGTTCGACGGATGACGATCCCTTGGGGGGCGCGCACGCGACGCGGGCGCCGAGGGGGGTGAAGAGCGCGTCGTGTGAACGACGCTCGGTCGTTCGGTTCGTGAATGCGTGCGTACGAGCGACTGGTGCGACGTGTGGATGGGAGAGACGCGCGCGGGACGAGACGAGAGGCGACGAGACTGACGGCGGCTCGAGTATCGTTCGCGCGCAGGACTGATGCGGCGGTGCAGACGTATTGGATCGATTACGATGGTCGATTGCGACCGTATTCGACGATCGCGTCGGGGGAGACGTTCGATCAGGGAACGTACGAGACGCATCCGTGGACGTTTACGACGAAGGCGTCGTCGAGGAATGGGAAGGCGAAATCGGAACGGCGGCGGTGCGTGGTGAACGATTCTCCGATATACGTCGTTTCGGGCGAAGAAGACGTGAGTGACGGGAGTTTAAACGACCGGGAGAAAAAGGCGCGCGTCGTGGAGATTCGGCGACCGCGCGTCGTGGACTGGTCGCCGGACGTGCACGAAGCGTTTTCAATCGGCTTCAAGCGAGCGGTGAGATGCTTCTTGTTGGCGCACCAGCGATCGCGGTCGACGAGCGCGGACAAGGGATTGGGGACGATGCCGAACGATATGTTACTCGAGATCATCGCGCGCATGGCGCCCATGAAACGGGTGTATCGCGAAATCGGCGCGTGAGCGCTGAAAAATCTTTGACGCCGAGACGATCGCAGAAACGCAGTAGCAACTACTGTGTGTTCCTCCAACTATTGAAACCAATGTCTAGTCAACTTCCAGCTCGGTCTACAAACGTCCCGTGTCCACGCCCGCGAGACGCTTGAGGAACGCGTACGAGGTGTACGTGATGGCGACCCCAGGAGCCACCTTTGCAAACTCGGGAAGGATCCCTCGGTAGAGTCCGGTGAAGCCCTCCTTGGCGAGCACGCGCTTAAATACCCCTGTGAAACTGTCTCCTCGCGTCGCGTCTCGCATCTGCATTCGTCGTCTAACGAGATCGATCGGGAACGTCGCCGTGGCGCTCACCACGGCGGCGGCACTTCCGCTCGCCATGTCCACCACCATCGGGTGCACGCCGTGATCGAGCTCTTGCAGATGATTTCGAAGCGTCTCGTACGCGGCGAAGTTCAACGCCAGGTTCGGTCCGACGCCGATGAGCGTCGGTTTGAGTCCGCGATAGAGCCCCTTTGCCCCCTCATCGCGCAAAATCTTCATGAACGCGTCGCCGATCCCGTTGTAGTGTTTCACCGTCGTCTGCGCGGCGAGACGCGTGCGTATGAGATCTAACGGGTACGTGAGCGTGCACGCTATGCATCCCGCGCTACCACCCGCGATCAAACGCTGGGCGAACCCGACGCCCATCGCCCCCTTCGCCGCGTCGCCGTTCTCGTCCACCCTAAGCGTTCTCGTCGTCTCGTCCAACAGGTTCATGATTTGCTCGTACGCGTAAAAATTCACCGCGCTGTAGGGCAATCTGTGAATGATCGTCACCCCGTTCCCCTTCCACAGCGCGGTGACACCCTCGGTGGCGACGATCCTTCGCAGTGACGATACTATGGACGATCTCGCGGCGGCGGCTTCCCATCCCGGCACCGCGTTCGTCCCCTGCAACTGATTCAAAATCGTCAACCTCGCGAGCGGCGCCGTGCACGACTTACTGAACGCCCCAGCGATCCCTCCGCACACTAACAATTTCGTCGTATCGTTCACCCCCCACGGCGACGGATGCACTCGCTCGTATCGTCCATCCGTCCCTCGTCGCCGCGCGATCGCGTCGTCGCCCGCGTCGCCCGCCGCCCCGTCCCTCGTCCCCGCCGCGCTCGCCCCAC